TTTCGGATATTCGACAACAATAAATGTAATGTATAGTAATAAAAGTATTCCGATAAAGCACGTACACGTACTGGAAAGGTTTTTGCAAAACAGCTGGTGATTGTACATGTGACAAAAGATATATCATCATATAGATTTCAACAAGAAAAGTTTATTTAAATTCGATTGCTATTAGAATACTCTTTATAAAAGATTAGTAAAAGAAAATGTTAGCCTTATTTAATTTACAGTCTGTCCTCAAGACGTTGAATAGTAGGTAATATTTTTTTTATTTTGCAGGAAAAATATTTTTTTTGCCTATTTTTTGAAGATGATAAATACTTGTTAAAAACGTGACCAGTCAATCATCACGGTTACCTTCAGACGTATTTTGAAATACGTCACAACGTAACTAATAAGCTATTATGCAAATAAAGCAGTTCGGTTCAGAACGGTTGAATTGAATTTAATTTAACTCACATGAATCGCGTGGACATGTAATTCTTATATAAGGAATATGAACAGTATCAATTGAATTAACACTATAAGATGATTAATCGTTACATAATGCTGGTTGCAAGACGCCATTTAGATCTGGTAATAACAGCGGCATTGGTTTAGTACAATCATTTCGTGTGTAAGCAACTACAACATAAATTGATTTCGTTGTTGAACGATAGATTTATTAGGGAGAAGTTAACTAATAGTACTTATTCCTGTGGGATCATTTTCATGCCACATGACGGTAACGGTGATGATCAAAATTTTAATCTATTGCATAGAATTTTTGGGAATGGAAGCAGGCAAACGAGGCGGTAATTCATCTGATCTCATGTGACTTTTACGGTGGTAGGGCCACTCAGCAGCCTCGGCTGTTGCACGAATGAGCAGGCCCTTCCGGGTAAGTACCACGACCCCTCAGGAGACCAGCGTAAAGTGGAAGTAATACAAATACTTTCGCGTTTCGTGTGGTGAGTGAGGTAGCCGGAGCCCAATTTTCAAAAGGTTGTCAACGCATCTGTAACCCTCTGGTGTAGCAGATGTCCATGGGCGACGGTATTCACTTACCGTCAGTTACCGCCGTCTGCTCGTTTGGCAACTTTTCACATAAAAAAAAATTCGCCTCAAGTGGCCCTCGAAAACTACACCCGGGTGGCAGTTGGGCTAAGAGTTAAGCCACACTTTTAAAGCTCGGCTCAACAACTGGTTCGCATCACTGTTTAGGCGAAATGTAAAAGTTGCACCCTTCTACTATACGCTTGTCTTCTGGCACGGCCATTCTTGCAAAAGGACCGAATGAACAGCTCTACTAGAGCTCAAACAATGAGCTATCTAAAACAATATTTACATACTGTTGTAACAATTTTGAGTGCAAAATTAATTGGACTCTTCCACACGGGAGTCTATCGCTCGTGAATTGTAGGTCACTGCGTTAGTATTAGGGGCGGTCACTTTCTCTTTCGCTTTGGTAGTGACCGACTCTAACATATTAACGCCCGGTTTCTGAAACACTGATCATTATAGAAGTTAACTAATTAGCTGTCAAATGGCTTTTGAAATGTCATTTGAGTTGCCAAATATAGTTTCTCAAAAGTTTCAGAAACCGGGCGCAAGTCTCCGATTTAAAAGTTATATAGTCGTCGAACATTTATATTTTAAAAAATACATGTGTATTTTATTTAACTACATAATATTAGCTAACTACTTATTCAGTGAACCATTAATATCGATTTGCTAACAGTGTTATCTTTCTAATTATGCTCTAACTACATTACTACATTATGAATTGAATTAATAATCAACAGTTTAAAGAAATGATTAACTATTAAACAGATTATTTTAACCAGTACTAGGATATCATAATTGCCCAGCGAGTGTGGCCGAGGTGAACGACCCCCGAGCGCAGTGCTAGATTCAGGCTGACGGAATGTGCTCTTGCCAAACGCACTGATCGGAAACCACCTGGAAAATGTACCGCTTTGGGCCTACTCTGGTTAATGTTGAAATCGTGTTTGTAGCAAAGCCACTCGACGGAACTGGTTTTAAATTGATGACTAAGATAAGTCAGCGTTTAGAAAATGAGCTTAATTTGTTAACAAACGCTATTAGGCAACCGTACAGATTTAATGGTCATATAAATTGACCAATATTTATACTCTGTCTACCGAATGGTCGACACTGAATTCACTTCGAATTCTCCTCGTTTTACTACGATTAGCAGAAGCGATTGATTTCGTATAATAAATTCCAAAAAAAAACATTTTTTAATTAAATGATACCCACAGTTTCTTTTCATATACCTATAGAATTATTATCTATTAATTATTTAATCTATACAGATGAAATTATAATGTCATAATTTATTCTCCAATATTTTGTTATCCCACACAAATGTCAATATAAGAAGTATTAACAAGGGCATGATTTATCAGAAAATTACGCAGATATAATTTATATATGATTGATTATCAATTTGTGCCATTTGCTGTTGAAACTTTAGGCCCGTGGGGTCCCCGCACATCAAAATTTTTAAAAGTTTATGTCCTAGGCTTAACGCCGCGGCTGGTGACAAGAGAGGTGGTTCTTTTCTCGCTTTTCTCGCTAACTAGCATAAGCTAAAAAGCATAACTATTCAGCGAGGAAATGCAGTTTGCGTTCTTGGCACCATGCCGCGTGGATTAGGTGTATTAGATAATATGTAACTTCAGATAGATTTAATCTTGTAAATATTAGATCAATTTTGACTTAGTAGAAATATTAAAAGTACGCTATAACAATAATTTATATATAATTAGAAATCGACATTCGATAATTGGTGTAATCTCTATGTAACACGAGTCGAGCGTGGGGCCGTTAAGTAATACAATTCAAGGCAGTGAGCCCATAATGCCTTGAACCTTGAACCTGCTAGCGGATACAGTCACAAAGTCTACGCACAGGGCCGACCAAATAATAAAAATATTAGTTCCCGCCTATTAGTTTTATATCATACATTTTCTTTCTTATTCCTCAATCAACTACAGCGATAAAGTGTAAGAAGTTGTAGGTGATTAAATAATGACATAACAAGTTGACGATTCTTATTGTTGAAGTCAATTGCTAAAAATAAGTGTTCTTTTTTTACAGTTTAGTGTGATAAATAATGTGAGGTTTCATTATTGTATAATTAAATAATGAAACACTTCTTTAAGCAAACGCAACAGATATATGCGGCATGACTAAACATGTCCTTCATCTTCATGCATACACTACGCTTCTATCTTATACTGATTATCAATTTTTTTTTTAAATAAGTGTGTAAGAAAACTTTGGTTTGCTTAAACACGGAAATTCCTTGAATTCAATTAATGAATTCTAATGCCCTCATTGCGAATGAACTGAATCCAAGTCCTTTTCTATATTTCTGCAATCGATGAGGTATGATAATTGTTGCTACATCGAAAAAAAAAAATGTTCTCCCACAGTGGGGGCAATACTTTGTGCAGAAAAATACTACATTGTTAAAAATATGGTCGAATGAACGTTTAAGCACGAAACGTTTAAATAATATTTAGGTTTATATAATTCCTGGGCGAAGTGTTTAATAAGACTTGACAACCCTAGCATTGCACCTGGCGGTCTTCTTTACGTTCAATAATGTGGAAATGTGCGATGTCGCTATCCGTGACAATAGGTACCTAGTTGGCGGCTTTTGCCTTTTTGGCTTTTCCCGATGAAGAATCTTACGACCGGTTTCTGAAACACTGATCATCGAAGTTAACTAGTCAGCTGTCAAATGGCTTCTCAAATGTCATTTGTGTCGCCAAAATGATGGTTGAATATGTAAAAGTGGATCAGAACGATCGGAATGATCAATTCAAAAAGTTAATGCATCTGTTTGTATTTATTTTTATTTATTTATTTTTTATTATTTTCTTATTTATTTTTGAATAGGTTTCTACTTAGCTAGCGCGCTTAACATCAACGGCTGCATCGCCACTTACTATCAGGAGGGATGGCAGTAAAGTGCTGGCCAGCTTTGACTTAAAAACTAAAAGAAATGATTATTTTTACGAGAATGTTAAATGGAAGTTACGGATTTTATGGCGTTTAAGTTTTGAATTTTAATTACCAAAGTTTCGACACTGCCCCGTGACTGTGAACACTGGAAAGGGCCAAAACGCCAAAATTAAAACGCAATAAAATAGTTTCATCAGTTATCATTTAAAAGTGAAAACTTGTGATTGGCTTTCGATGTTTTTTTACTCTTTCTGACTTTCAAACGATGGATGTAAGTTTTCCGAAGTTGTAAAATAAAAAAAACGTAAAAAAAAATTTGTCACGTGGAAAACCATTATGAACCAATTACCATAGCACATAAATGTACCGTAGCTAAGTTTGAAAAGGGGTTTTACTAAAGTTTTCTTTAATTTTTGTAATTTAGCCAAGTAACCCGATAACGGGACCAGAAAAGATCTTTCACGTAAGCTTTCTCCTGACGATTGTTACGTTAGAAAACAATAATCTAAATTAAAATAATAGAACAGACTTGAACCAGGAGGCACATTAAGTATTAGTCTGATGCTAGCATAAGAACGCACTTGTAAGGATGTCGACAGCGTATTAAAGAAACGTAATATTAATTTGGATGCATTATTTTTATGATCATCATGAAGTGACTGTGTGTAACTTTTACTTTGTAGCTCTTTATCATCTACTTAAAATGTTCATAAACAAAAAGTGCAAACATATATTTATTAGTCATACAAATGTTTCTTAAAAATACAGATAATGGCACTTCATTATCAGGATGCTTGAGCTCTATAGCTTTTTTTTATACCATCAAATTAAGAAAATGTTAATTTTTATTTGGTTGGCCAATGGCTCCTAAGCACCGGATATTATGCCAGTTATTGATCATGAACAGTATTTCTTCATTATTTATTATTGGTAATAAGAACATTTAGATGAGTACTATTATTAAGGATCGATACACGAAACAAAACTTGGTACAAAATTGTTCCATACAAAATATTACTTACTCTGGTAACGATGACCATTATGAAGCCGACATGTGGTCACCAGCCCGATCTGTAACAATAAATGATTACCTTAAAAATTCACTCATGCCAAAATTATTTATGCATATTTATATATATCAAACACTTATGAAAAAATATGTCAATATTTTTTTCCTTTAGAAGCAATGTTCACAATTACTTAGAAAACCATGTAAATTACAACTACAGAAATTAAGTCCGTTATTAAATAAATAAATGTGACTTTACTTGCCGGTGCTGCGTGACCTAATTGGAGCTGAATGAAACTGAGAAAAATTAAAAAATCGAGGACAATCGGATGCATTGTCTAGATTCATATAATATTTATAACAGGAAAAAAATCATTGTTTTCGACAATAATAATGATTGTTTTCAACAATAATAATGATTGTTTTAAACATAGACAATTTTTGTATGGAATGAATATTTCGTTGAGTGAACGCACGGCAAACTGTCTTCACCTCGTGGAAAGAACAATGCTCATTATGGACTCGCCTGTAAATATGATAAGATAAAATAAAATCATCTTTTTGCCTTTATTCCACGTATATCCGTATTGGCTAGGTTCTTACCGACCGGTTGCTGCCTGACTTAAACCCTCCTTGGGAACACAAAGATCCAGAATATTTAATTATCTGTCGGTCATACAAACAATGTACCGTGCGGGAATTGTACGCATGTAATCCGGCGCATCATCATCGGCTTACCAACGCAACAAATGAACAAATTAAATCTCAAAATCATTTTTGAAGCAGAAATGTGGCTTAAAAACTTTTATTAAATACATGACAGGACAGCGATGACGATATGTACGTTCATTACATAACAGCCGTTGTTATAAACGTAGTGATTACATTCTCTTTGTTATAAACTCGGAAGAATGCAATGCCTCAAAGGTTAGATCATATCAGCGTAAGTATCTATATGAATAGTGAGTATAGTGATAACATGCATGACGAAACTTAAAGCATATATATTATGTAGAGTCGTGGCCGGACTAGAATTCTTGTTTTATCTTTAAAATCGAAATAACAAACGTTTTATGGTTCGATTCTTTAAGGTACAAGAAAAATATCTCTATTTTTTCAATCTCACAAATACGTTCAAAGTATATATCTTTTTAACCTATTTATTACAAAATATACAAAGGCGGGATGAAATAAGTATAATATGAAAAAGAAAAAAAACACTTTTTGCAAATGAAAAATTGTCGATTAAAAAAAATAGATTCGTAGAAGTTTTTTGTTACTATTACTGAGCAGGTCTATTTGCGTTATATGAAAACAAATCGTGCACAGCTACAACTAAAGAAAAGACAATCTTTATTGATCTAATATTTACAAGATTAAATCTATCTAAAATTACATATTATCTAATAAACCTAGCTACAACTTAAAACTAGCACGACTACTTGTTATAAACGACGCATCAAAAACATCCTTAGGTACATATAAATTTTTGAATAACTATATATTAAATTAATAATAAATTAATAATTGTAAGTAAATATGCGCCTATAGCATAAATTAATTATCGAAAACCTTCGTATATTCTATTTAGAACATTTGTACGTATACGTAACATTATACGTACATTTGTACGTATAATGTACTATGTATATGCTACGTTTAGTGCTGTTTGAAAAGTAACGTATTCAGTCAGCGGCATGCATTAAACGTTAAAATATATTGATAACGCACCAACATTTTGACTAATACGTTACAAATGTACTCGTCACGTATGTTGAGTATTAAAAAAAATTCAAGGCGTCTCAAGTCGAGCACAATTTTGTCGATACAGAAATAATTTTATAAAACCACTTCGACTTCCACTTGGTTCAGTACAAAAAGAGAGAGACTTGCTATGTTTGATGAAACAATAGAAAACTTGTGTTTCATTAAAAAATAAAGTAAAAGTTAAATGCTCGTGCGTCAGCTGCGTGGCGAACGAGAGTGCAGGTGTTGAAGGCGTTGTTTGCGCAATGGGAGCCGTTTAGGGTTTCAATTCACCAGTTAACGAGCACGTCGAATGGTAGTTGCGTACAGGCATATCGTGGTTTAAGCATTACGATCCGGCAGCGTAAACAGGGACTATTGGAATTTCATAAGAATCCCGAACGTGTAGATATCATTTAAAGGTTATCTGAGGGGTTTTATTAATGACGTTTTACCCGGGGAACATGGTAAGGGATTCCTGTAAGAACTGAAAATTTACGTAACTGACACATATAACTGTGCGGCCACGCAGAATCTTTTGCTGCAACGGATGTGCAGACTCGATCAGGGAACCACGGCTACTCTTAATACCGAGGTTAAATAGAAGTATTATGCTCCTGCATTTCATCTGGTAGTTGCGCAGGCCCACTTTTTTAAAGGTTGCCAACATGTCTGCATCCTTTCGAATGGTATTATATCTATGTTTAGAGATAAACAGTTAACATGAAATTAACCTTCCGCTTGAAGTCGTTTGTTCGTGAGTCCCCGTTGCGATCTTAGATAATATTTTTAGGTATCAGCAAATCTAAAACTATCAGGTTTTCAGGTTATTTTTCACTAATTACTTTTTTAAGTCCGAATGTAAAAGCTTTCAACCCTTACTCCATTATTTTTTTTTTTTTGACTGAATAAATCAAGCTTAACTTTACGAACGGGATGGTTTTATATTATTTCGTTTTTACAACATTATAATATTCACAACACTTGACAACCCTATTAACTAAGGGGACGGACGAACATAGGGCCAGTGAACGGACGGAACTAAGAGCTCCGGAAATCCTTTATCCCTCGGCCGTTCATCTCAATGACATGCGGTGTCAATGTCCATCTGTCCATACATAAGTCTGTATGTTTCAGTGCGATAAAAATTTCAAAACTAGATACTGGTCCCATTTACATAATTCTTTCTTCGCTTTAGTAATAAGTCATCTGATCGTCATATAGATATTCCTATACGCGTTACGTATCGTCACTTTCTATAGCGGATATTAAAAATAACTTTGACGTAAGCCGTAAACGCAATGGAGGAGTATTTAAGTTCTCGTGTGTTGCATTCCGTAGTAGACTATATTTATTACGTGTGTAGCATGAATAGTCGCATAGCTACTTGAAAAATTTCCTTATGGGGCCGTCCATTAATCACGTGGGGATCGATCGGCTTCGGGATCGAAAGGGCCTCCCCCTTAAGAATAGAACTTAATACTCCTCCATTGCGTTTACGGCTTACGTCAAAGTTATTTTTAATATCCGCTATAGAAAGTGACGATACGTAACGCGTATAGGCATATCTATATGACGATCAGATGATTTATTACTAAAGCGAAGGTTTGTCAAAAATCACGAAATATCACAAGGTTGTAAGTATTATAGTGTGTGTAGGAGTGTTTTAAGGTATCACGTGTATTTATTTTTTCGTAAAACGAGGGATCCCTTAACTGAAAAGCGGCGTGACTTTGACTCATCGTGACATTTTTATCATGGTCATTAATTTAAGAATAAAAACTATTATAGTATATTATAGTATTTAAAGAAAATGTTCTAAAAATTTGAAGATTCTTTGTAGGTACTAAAAAATGCACGTGATTTGGTAGTCTTAAAGCGTATCTATTACATCTACCATCTTAGGTATATCCAAGGGGGAGGAGGGGAGTTAAAAAATGCTAAAAAAGACATCATGTGATTGTGGACGGCCCCTGTATTGGAGATTTATTAATCATTTATTACAATGATTTAATAGAGCCGTGATAGCTCAGTGTCAGGACGCTCGCCTTTATTTCAATATACTTGAGCAACCCGAGTTCAATCCCAAAGTCCTGACTTATCACTTACTCAGCGGTGCAGGAAACCAATATTTCTGCAAAATAATAACAAAAAATAATATTTCAATGATATGTGAAATCCGCCTTTGCACAGTGGGACCACGTGGCGTAATATGCCCTGATACGCCCTATACGGAGGAGGCCTTTGCCCAGCAGTCGGACATGACAATGAATTTATAATGATTTTCATCAATCCATATTTTTGGATTATTAGTAATAAACGTGAGAGTAATTTAACGTACGCTGTTATTACTAATAACATTTAAAAAATATTACTTATTATATTTTAAAAATATAAATCTGTACTAAAAAAGTACTTGGGACGCGTCATAAACAATTTCGAATTTCTTTTCCATCACAATTAATTTGGAAATATTCACCGTTTTATTTGACTCGGTAATGCCGCTAAAATTTACTCTAACTAATCGAATGAGTTGATAGAGGTTTAAATAAAGCAAGAATGTCACCCAACACGAATACAAGAATCGAAAGAAGTGAAAGTAATGCTTTTTAAACTTCCAAACCCAATTGTAATGAATTAATCCGAATTCCAATGCATAAAAGGAGGTGCAGTAACGCATTCAGAAAGTGGCCGCCGCCAGCTCGACCACTTTCATATTATACGACCTGTTATGTCAACGTCCACTGACAGAATTGTCGTGACGTATGCAGTGTAGATGTTTACAGTGACAGCATGCGATCGTAGACACACAATGGAGCGAAACACTGATGTCAGCGTGACATATGTGACAGCTTGCATTAAGCACATCATGGGATTCTGCTTGTCAAAGTGTTGATGTAAACACGTTGTTGAGTGGTTTTGCGATTTTATTTTATATTCATTACTTTTGAATACCTAAACTTGTTTGTTTTGTAAGTGTTTGGTGGTGGTTTTTGTGGGGATTGGTGAGTATTTTTATCTTTACGAGCCATTTCCCTTTTAAGTAAGAGAAATGGATGAGGATAAACCCCCGGATGGGGGTGGTGGACGCCCTCCCGATATTATGATGGAACAGCATGATTCTAATTTTATCTTCCAAACCCCTACTCCTACTAGCTTAAAACCTGAAAGTCACATGAACCGAAAACGCCCGGCTGAAAATAATGAAACTATCAACATTAAAAAAACTACTCCACCCTCCGTTTCTTATCAGTCCACGTATTCTAAAAAGGGTTACGAAATTGA